CCAGACAGACAGGCGGACGAAAACGGGAGACTACTTCTTTTGTACTCTAGGGGTCATGAAACGTCGAGAATACATAAAAGTGGCCATTCGTCCGATGTACTCGATTACTATACTTCCTTAGCTTACGTTCAGGAGTAAAAATAGGTGATAGTCTACTTTTTTAATACGTAGACCCGGTTTATAGAAAGCGAATTCGCGATTAACTTTAATTGAGGTCCGTTGCTAGGCAACGTGCATGTTTTAATCAATCACGGGCTCATATTCTACATTTGAATCCTTTACTAAATTAATCCACGATTAAATATTTAATTCACTTCCTATAAACCGATTCTTAGTTTCAAAGTTAAAAATACTGAACAAAATATCTGTTTGCACGATATCATTCTTATGAATAAATACTCGTATGAATAGTGTTTTATCTTATTTGCCACACAAACAGAACTACAAAAGTGTCGTGCATTCTACTATGGGGTGTTATCATTATTTATTAACCAATTTAGCCTATTGTTAGGTAACATTTAACTTTATATCGTCATTATGAGCAAATTGGTGTACTAGTGCAAAAACGAAATAATGTTGATAATATGATAATTTATTAAGGATTATATAGTTATTAAAAACAAGTTTGCGACAAGCTGTCGCCTGCATAATTAATAGCTTCTGAGCTATTCTATTTATTTCGCTGTGTTTAAAAATTTACTTCCAAAACTTTCGGCATATACATATCTACTCACTTTTATTGCAAATTTTAAATTATAAAATATATTCAGACAATCTTAACTGTAAAATGTTTGTATACAACTGATCGAATAGTTTCCCTCATTTCAGTCAATTAGAACTATTATTAAAGCTCCCTCTCTCTTTCAGCCACTTTTCAACAAATTCTTGCCACCAAATATGATAAATTTACAATTTTTTATTTGTAAGGAAAATGTTGCATCACATAACACAGAAGAATATGTAGAGCATACAAACTTCCAGAAGCTTCCCATTGTGCGATAACAATACAAGCAATACCAACTTTGATATATTGGCAAAACCCTCAAACTAACTTATCTATTCCCATTTCATGACATACTCAATTTACTCAATACCGGATCAATAATTTGCAATTAACTAGTTGCGGTTGCCATTACTAACCAAATTATTGTATACTTTCCTTCCATTTCGCTGCCGCATTTTCAACACACTGCCGCTTAAAAATGATATATAACCCCATTAGCAAAATTGAATTTGACTGTATTCTGTGATTTAGGTGTTACACTTTAGGCAATCTTGCCAATTACGATCAGTTGGGTCGATAACCCCAACCCTTGCGTGAATACATTACGAGAAGGACTAGAGGGGATGAGACATCGCCCTATGAATTTTTAACGATTGTGCGATTACTCTGTCTGGGACGAAAATATCTATCACAATAAAGACATACATTCTGAGTGTTGATCCAACCCTAAGAGGGGATAGATATCAGCCCTTACATCATCACGCGGATTTGTTTACTCTTGAATTTTATAGCTGATGTTTGCACAGGATTACAAAGGGGGTGTAAATATCTCCAAGAAAAATAAACTACTCACAAAATAAGAAGATTTTGTTTTATGTGTAATAATAATAAACGAGGTTCTTCAAAAAAACTTTTAAAATGAAGATGTGAACACTGAGGTATGTACTTCCGTTTAATATTACAATGTCAACTCGTCGAAATGGAGCTCATTTTTTTAGAACTTCACTCAAACAATAGTGTCTGTCTTTTAGAAACAGTAGGGACTTTTTATTTGTTATTATCACTTTCGACAGGTTTATTTTTATATAAAAAAAATACCGGCACATATAGATAAAAATTTTGTTGTCATAAGAATTATAAGGAGAATCCATCATTTTTTCAAAATATATTTGAGAATAAACGTATTATAGAAGGGTTGGGTTGTGTTTACATTTTGTGTTTTGTTTAAGTCAGACAAAATGGTTGCGTACCTTGAAGTTTCGTAATAAGTAGTGATTACACATCTAATTCTGATTATTTTTCATATTTCACGCTTGTCTGTATGTATGTATGCCTGTTTCCCGCAGCTTCCTATTCCCTTCCGGCTATAGGTAGGTAAAATTTAATGCTTTTTTTTTGTAAACTTAAATTCACCTATGCAGATAGACTGAACGGTTTGATAAACGGCTCCCCAGACAAAAAGACACTTTTAAAAGAAAAGATGTGAACACAAACGTACTTGGGTTTAGCATAACAGCATCAAACCCTTCGAGAAAAAGGTCAATTTTCTCAGCACTCCTCGCCTGAGCGCAAACAAAGTTTAAATGTCTCCCCATTATTTTGAATGGTGTTCGCAACGTAAAAACATTTGTCTCTATGCACCCACACTCAAAGCCCCAAATTCGACCAAAAAACTTCCAGCTGTGTCAGCATCACTCGAAAATTAACATTGTCGAGATAAGCGGGTAAACAGCCAGATGGCGTACGATGCGGTTTTAATTAAAAGTGGATTTACCTCATTTTACATTTAGAGGACTCAATTACGTAGCGGCTGATAAAATGATATACATTTCCCTATTAGTGTAGCAAAATTATCAGTTAAATTTAACTGATCATCAGTTTAATGAACGAACGATGTGCACAATGAGGCAACTTTATTGCGGAAATCTAAGGGCGGCAAGTCTTAATATTTTCCCCTTCTTAGGACCATTCCAAATAACAAATTGCTAGCAAGTTACGTAATAGCATTGGAAATGAGCTCGTTGCCAATTCAAAAGGGTCATATTCTAGAATGAGACGAATCAATGGGTCGGAAGTGTTCCTACACCCCTGGCTGTGGTACAAGAAGAACAAGAAGAAAACATCCACGTCCTAACCCGTACTAATCTGAATTGATTGATGTTCATTTTGGTGAAATTCGATGATGAATGACGCAAATCCTTTCAAGACTTGGAGAACCGCAAATGTGTTTTATTTGCGTCGGGAATAGACTGGAGATGAAGCAAACAGAAAACGAATCACTGGAATTTCTGTGATATTGTTCTTTGTGTACTTAGAACCACATAATATAATCTGAAGACGAAAGCATTTTACTGTAGACACATGTTTTTATTCTATTTTCATGTCTTGGGTTTTTTTAAGAGATTACAATATGAAAATGGTTCTGTTCGTCATTTTTATTTCAAGGCAAGGATTTCAGTGCCCGTCGATCATTTTACACAAACAGAACAAAAATTATAGTTAAAATGTAGCGATTTAAATAGACAGAATTTTATCTGGGAAATACATTCATTTAACTTTTTGTATCTAGTTATATTAAAATTGAATTCTGAAATTAAAAAAAACCTTAACACAAAGGTGTAAAAATTTGTCACTTTTTTAAAACATCGTGTAACATATCTTTGAAGTGAAATATATTTGCAATGGGACTACGTTGATGTAAACAAGCTTTCGTCAGCCACTCAGTACTTTTTCATCTATGACAAGAGACGTCAAATCAGCCCGAACCAACGTCCGATTAGTATGCGGGATGCGTTCTAAGTAAATTCTCCCCGGATTAGGAATAGCACGTAGCAACTTCAATCAGCAACTAGTTCTTATCTTGTAGTTGCAACTTTATTAGCAACCATTATTAGCGGCAATTATTCAGTAACCCCAACATTTCATATCAATTATTCCATTTCAGCTGGCTTTGAGCTCGGTAACTCTAACTTTCATAAAAGTTTTGATTTATTGTGCGCATTCATTTAGGAAGGAATGCAATGGAGTAAAGATATTCTAATTTGTTAATTCGCGGATTGTTACGAGAGTAATTTTAAATACGGCTATTACTCATTTTGTAAGTGAAATAACATCCATTTCTGCAATTTCTGGCAAATATAAAGTACCGCTACTTCAGAGGCACGAGCCAAATATTTGCATCGAATTAAGTTTTAATAAATCATGATCGAGATTTCCTCAAACGAAAATAAATGGTTCTTCCTGTTTATTGAGTTTATTGATTTTTTATATAATATATGGCAATATTATGCTTCAGTTGTAGAGCCAATTTTGAAGCTGGAACAAGAAAGATTTGATTGATTTCAAACATAATATTCCCCAAAATAACCGTCTAAAATTTTATACAAAATTTAGATTATATGCACGAAACAGAAACATTTAGATTTCTATCGAACTTTGTCTCGAAAAACATACGTGTCGACGGTCACATTCTTTAATATTTTATCTTTCATTTTATTTGTACATTGTAGCTATAAATCAGACATTTTTTATTCTTTTATAATTTTATTAACAAGATTAAAAAGGTACACATGAAATGAAAAATATACTCGTACATAAAGATATTTTTTTGCTTAAATATTTTACACAAGTTTCTTCAGTGAAAAAAATGTTAGATAAATCAAAGAACATTCTATTTGGTATAGATAAAAAATCTGCTCCTGTATTGTAACCTATACAACTACAATGTTAAAAATAATACTCATTAAAGTTTGTCATGAGGCGGGGAAGTTAGATGCTAATAAATTGATTGCTTGTATTTTCCTTAGCATATTAGTGTGAAATTATTTTTAAATGCCCAGTAGACACAGTAAGTTTTTGTAACAACAACACTTTTTCTGGAAACAATAACAAATCTTCTTATTCTCTGGAGGAAACATAATTTTTAGATACAAAAACAAATAAAAATATAAGCTAACTTCATTCGTAAATAATACAATGTTTGTGTTAAAAAACAGAAATCAAAATGTTATACAGTTCTGTTGTTCGAATGTAATGTTACCATTGTTACCAGGTTTATACAGGGTCATTATAAAATATTGTAGTCGAAGAAGGCCATGATTTTGGTGACATTTTGTGCCGCCTTTTTCAGTTTTGTGGAAAGGATTACACTAATATTGGAATTTTTATTTTTTACGCCACATTAGTTGACATTAGCGGCTGCACTGTTTCAACGCTTCATCAAATTCTGTCAGATGTCAATAATTTTTTCGTTTGTACTGGTACGTTTTCTCTCACTTTGTGCGTTAATTGACTTGTCTTGTTTTCATTTTTGCTGTCTTCCCCTTTGTTAGAACTTTAATAAGTGTCTCAAAAAACAGTTTTTATCAAAACTGCAGATCATTGTGGAATAATCTCAGGTAATGAACACAGAGGAATAACTATGGTCAGTGTTACAAATGATTTTTTTAGTTCTTTGGCGCAATCATCATGCCTATTACCGTAATGGGGTGTTAAATGAGGATGGGGATGGAGTGTACTCTGTGGAGGCGTCTAAAAACGAGTATCTAGTGAAATGTTCTGTTGTCATTGATGAAGAATCTTTGAAGACGCTATACGGCGAATTATGGCCAGATTTAACGACACTGGTAGCATTTCTAAGTGAAAACCGACGGGGAGGCCTCAAGTTAGTGAAGACGTTGTTGAAGATTTAAGGATGAGAATGGAACAAAGTCCGAATAAAGCTTTGTCAAAAATCTTTACTGTCCGGAGTACCATACAGCCCATGTCAGAAAATCGTAAAAGAGAAGTTACATATGCATCCATACAAGATTTTGTTGGTTCAGGAGCTGCAACCAGCTGATTTTCCTTGCCGCGTTGGGTATTGTAGTTGGTTTCAAGCTGATATGGATGATAACGGGATTCTCGATTTGTCGTTCTTTTCTGATGAAGCCTGGTTTCATCTGTTAGGCTATTATGTCAACTGACAGAACTTCAGAATTTGGTGTATAGAAAATACTCACGCTTTTGAAGAAACACCATCACACGCAATGAAGGTTGGTGTGTGGTTAGCTGTTTCCAGACGACGATTCATAGGCCTGATACTTTTTCAAGTAAATGAATGTGATCAATAAACAAAATTAGATGTAGAAAGTGTATGTAGGTACTGCAATAAAGTTTTTTATTTTCAGTAACTTTCATTTTTCTTTCGGTGTTAGTTGCATTCTCTTAATTTAAAACTTACTTCAACTTACTGTTTAGTAAGAATTGTAATTTTACTATTAGGAAAGTTAAAAATCTTTATTAAACATTCTGTTGTTTCAAGAGACCTCATAATCATCTACAGAACTCTTAACACTATGCTCCTGAAATTTTATTGGTTTTTTCATCTTTTTTGTTATAGAAATTTTGAAAAATCTTGATATTAGGATGGCCATGTGGGCGTGTTTTGGGTAGAACCTCTTTGACATTCCTGTTATGCAGATCTGGCATGTTTCAGATATCTAGAAACTGCAAAGCTGAAGGTAATGTTTGGACATAGCAGTTTTCACCTATTGTAGGGATGAAGATCAAGGCTTTCAGTTGTGTTTTTTCAAGAGAAAAGCACCGGTCACAAACCATGTCTGCACCAATATTTTGACGATTCCTTACAATTTACAAACAGAACTTTCGCGGGATCACAACTTTGGCAAAATTATTTACTGCAAAAACTCATTAGGTACTCATAGTGTTCGTTAACTGTGATAAGACTTGCTCTGCCATTGTCAATTACGTGATTTTTCACAATTTTTACCTTCAGGGTACCTATAAAAATGTAATTTTTTAAATAATTACCGTGTTCATTGGTTTCGACAAACTTAACCTCACTTTTTGGATTTCATTATTTGAAAAATTATTGCTTCTTTGCAAAACAGACCAGATGATTTATTCTGTTCAACTCCAATCGACTTTCCAAGGTGTAATTCATGACAAAGCCCTTAAACATTTTTCTGACAATTTACAATTTTTGAAACTGAAATGTATTGCAGTGGCGTTCACAAATGCTCGATAACACTGCAACCCTTAATGCTCTGGCCTGGCGTCTTTTCGTGTCTATTTAAAATGAAATTAAACCGCGAACCGGGCATTTCAATTTTTGACACATCTGACAGATTTGTTTGGACGTTCGTGACATTTCAAAACAGTTCAAATCATTTTGGTGATCAGCGGCACGAGAAAAATTTCATTTGTTTTTCATAGGTGAGTTGACTACAATATTTTATAATGACCCTGTATAACAACAGAGATCTATGATTTTTTATTTAGTTTAGTATATCTAGTTTGAAGTTTCCAAAAATGTATAAAAAGTACTTAATAGCAGGCTGACTTTGTTATAAAAAGTTACTTAAAAACTGAAATCTCTTTCATGTTCAAATAATATAATATGTCTAGGAAAAGATGAGATCAGGTTTAGGTGACATGCGGTTTAAAATTTAATGGAATTGCAATCACTTAAGCAATTAAACAAACTTCAAATAATAGATGTCCACATAATGTTCTTTTTCTGTAAATTTTGGCTCTACAAATTGAGTTGTGTCACAGTATTTAAATATTTCATTTGATTATTTGAATCACTATCCAGGGTATTGACTAGTCTTGCAATTGTAGCGCAGAGTAGAACTAAAAGATTAATTACTTTAATTTCAAACAAGACCGGATTCTAGAACCATGTAACATAATGCGGAAAACACATGTCCACGTCAATAAATACTGGACTGCATACGAACACCTACCTGACTTTCAAGTTAACTGTAATAATTACTTCAGATGGATGTTAGATTATTATTATTGTATAAATGACAGATAAGCAAACCAATTTATTAAACATGAAAGGCAAAAATAAAATAGTAAGAACGATAAACTAAGTAAACAGCACTATTTCTTATGTCTTTACCGTAACAAGGTTTTCCAGATTGTGAAACCAAAGAAACCTATTCCAGTTACGGTTATGTCTATGTGTCTACATAAAATCCAATTACAAACTTGTTACGACGTAACCTTTTCACCCATTTCAACAACTTTTTCTAAAAACTTCTTTGAAGTAAATATAATACATTGTGATCCAGAGACACTAAAACTTTCTTTTGTTCACTAGAACATTATTTGCAAGTGCTTTCAGATTAATATTGTCTAGTCCAAGCTTTTCAACTGCAAGGATTGTTTCCTTCGATTTTTTCCTAATCTTTTATTAAAATATGTATTTTGTTTGGTATAAAAATGGAAATCTCAACTCTTAAGTTCGCATTAGCACATTTTATTCCTTATCGAAGTTTATGTTCGCAAGAAGCTATAGTGAAGAAGTGAAAAAATCCACCGCACCTCATTATTTCCGTTGATAATTTAATTCACGCAAAAAAATTAAATTTTAGCTTTAAGTTTTAAAAAGAATAAAACGTTAGTGACTTCACTTAACTTGACAACATTTTATTTTCATATATGTTGCCATCGACATAAAAACATCATGATTTTAGAGATAAACAAAATTTGTCAAATTATCGAATCCAGTTACACAAAACTTTTTTTTTAATTAAAATTTAGTTTTTTATTAGTCCTAATAAAAAGGTGGGAGTACTTAGTGTCATAAAATGTTTATGTTTTATTGTATAAAAGAAAAGTCGTATCCCTAAAGTCGAGCTCTAAAAACACATTCATGCCTTATTTCCATATAAATTCAAAATGTCAGGCCCACAAATAATTTAGCTTTTCGGTCCAATTTTAGTGGAAATCGTCAAAAACTGTAAATTTCAATAATTACTTAATACAATAATATAATAATTATTATTCTAGTTGTAGTAACTAGCAGTTTAGCTGACAACTTCAATTTTTTACATTTAAACTCGTCAATAATTGTCAAAATTCAAAAAGCTGTTTTGTTAGAGAAATGTCATGTTCGTAAAGTTCTCAAACAGTCTGATCATGTTACACAGAGTAGGTTAGCATAAGTATACCAGAGTTGTATAGGTCAGTTTTCACATAATGCGGGCAGTCACGCAAGCTTTGTGGGGGTGGGGCTAGTTTAGAGAATAATAGCAAATGAATATATACCTATATGCTGTACTTCTAAATCTCGAAAATCTTTTTACTTCGTCAGCATTATCAGTATCACCAATGCATTGCATTACTAGGTTTTAGTACCCGTAATGATATATGTTTTGCCTGAATGCCGCCTATTTCCGTACTTTCTGGGTCAGTGGTGAATCTAGTATACCTGTTTAATAATTATTATGATAAAAAATATACCTATAACACTTACATTCCGACTTAACTAGAAAATATATTAATACACTGAAATGTAATACCAGAAAAAAAGTCGTCTGGCAAGCCGTGATATTCATTTTTAAAATAGTGACGTTGGCATTGCAGCTATTTTACACTTTCTTCAATAGTTGATCATAACTGTCAAACTGAACAACGAACAAGTAAGTGTTACCAACATCATTTTATTTTAAAATCTTTCTTTTAATCCCTTCCAAAATTGACTTATAGTAGTCATACAAAGGACACCAAATTAATGACCCATATTCCATTTTGGATAAGGTAAATGTCATACAGAGTTTAATACATGCAAGTATACATTCAAAAGATTTAGTGTTACCGTTTACAAGACCTAACAACGATGACGTAGTTGAAACTAATTCTTAATATGATAATTAAAATTAAAAGTTATGTAAAAATAAATATCCTTAGTTTCATCAATTACAGTTACATTATTTTTACACACTGGTAATTAAAACAGAATATATTTTATACAGAATATATTTTTCTTGCTAACTGAGATTTTTGATAGAAATTGATGGCTAATTTGTTTCAGTTGATCATTTGGTTGAAACATTATTGCAAGTTGTCTAGTGAGTTAATATGTTTGAAAATTTTAACATCGTCTGCGTAATATACACAATTAGATACCATGGAAACAATGTCCTTTACAAAAATAAAATCTCAAAGTACCCAGATTTAACCCTTGTGGTACTCCCGAAGTAACTTCATACTAAAACTAAATGAACCCATTATAACATTTTTTTTGTGATTTGCCAGTCAGGACAGATTCTAAAAAAGCACATAGTGGTAATATTAATACTTGGCTAAAAACAATACATATAATAATATAACAAATTTATCAGGAAACCACAAACTAACGAGAAAATAAAAAATATACCTAGATAATTGGCGTAATTTTTACTTTTCGAGCACTAGCTAGAGAAATATTGTAAGGGAAGGAATTCAATTGGTGAACGGCTAACTTCATGTTTTCTCTGTTTATATGGAATGTCTATAAGACAGATAACCTCTACACATCGCCAAAAATTTTATAAACGTCATCTCAAAAATTTTACCAAGTAAATCCTGTAACTGTAATTTATTAGTCCAACCTTATTTTTAACTAAGAATATACATATAATTTTTTGGAAAAAAAAAAATCAAAATACTACAACAAAACTGTCCAATCTAAATTAGAAACGACAAAACCGATTGCTCTGAAATTTTGCACACTCTCTAAGGCTATAATGAACATGGATAATAATAATTGACGACGTCATGTCAAATCTTGATTAAAACTTTAGTACTTTAATAATACATTTACGAGAACTGGTTATTTAAAAAAATATTTTTGAAACTGTTACAAGATCTAATTTTGGATTACACATTTTATTTGAATTGGAAAAATAATCAACGTCACCCCTAGTTTGTATGTATATTACGTTGCATAATTTTGTCTGCGAAACTAAAAATGAACTCTTAACATTAATTGCATGATTACGGAACAAAGATATTTATTCACGCCTCTAGAAAATTAGTTTTCTTAATTGGAATAAAATTATAAGAAATCATCAAGTTTTTGAAAACGAAATTAATAGTAAGATATTCTGGAGGGTCATTTACTCACTTTACTACAATCTTAAGGCGATGTTGCAGTTTGTACGGTAAATAGTAAAATTTTGATGTTTTTACCATCTAAATGCATAACATTAAAAAAATAAGGCCTGATTAATAAAACACACATACAGACACACTGTATTTTGTACAATTTGATTAGGATTTACCTAGCAAAATTTTCAATGACATCATCAAATATTTGCTCGGTATCTTCAGACAAATTTGGATTAGCATTTTACATTTGTAGGTATGATATTTTTGAAATGCAACTAAAATTTCACAACAATCACTTCAGTAGTTAGAGACATCATTTGACTGATAAGTGCTATTACCAGTTTACGCCCGGGAAGCAGGAACTAAGAACTAATATAATTACAATACCTCCCTAGTTTGCGCTTGGGAAGTAAATTTTTTGTTTGATTTTTAAGCTAATAAAGAGGATCATCATACAATGTTCTACATATTTCTCAGCACTGCAGGTTCGTAACTGGAACAATGAACATTCTAATTAACACTTCCAATGTAATTTTGACTTGCAAAAACTTTCAAACATAATAATTTTAATATACTTTTGTAGCTGTTTTTACCAGCTCGATTCACTCAAAGTCAGAAACACATACACCGCAGTGGTATAACTTTATTACATTATAAATTATAAACAGAAATCTATACTTCGTGCCCAGTCAAGGATGATTCTACGCTTTCCATATACCGATGTTAATTTTAATACACCCGTTGAAACTAAGCGACACAACTAAGCTCCAGTCCAGCTTTTGTTTGGAGCTTAGTATAATCTATACCTGTCTGATTTATAGACATAATAACGTTACGTTGGGAGCTTTCATCTCGAGTTATAAGTAGCGTACGTAGTCTCGTGTTTGTAATTAATCTTACTCTTGTGCTTCACTTAGTCACTGTATGTGCTTTCAGATGGAGCGCACTCGTGAAAACGGAAGTTGCGCGACAAAAAAATGTTCTATTTAATCGCACTTATTTTAGTAACTACACTAAAATCGTCCTACTAGAATGAGTCAAAGTGATTTTTTACTAATTTAGATAGTTTATTTTTGTCTGGAAGCCTTAATGCGTTCGGTAAAAATCCCCAAATGACAAAGTAAACAACTATTTATTTATAAACTAGTGACAGTAATGATCTGCTGTAAATGTATTTAATATGTTGTGAATTTAATTATTTTGAACACAATTTCATTTTCGATATTTCAGTGATGTAATGATTCAGCCACGACTGCGTGAAAATATTTGAAGTAAAAATTTTAAATTTTCAAGATTAATATTGGTTTGTAGCCAACTTAACTTTCTTGCCTATGAGACAAAATATTTTTTGTCGTATAAAACAATTTTTTTTTACAATGAAAAAACTCCGAAATATTTACAATTTACAATAAAAGAATTTTAACTTACCTTAAATATGATGCAAAAAATCCATCGTCATTAATATATGGTCAATATGTTTGCCTATTTGAAGACTCCGTTAACAAGATTAATCACTGTACTTGTGATTAGCAGAAATAGTGATTGTGGTTTCGAAAAAGAACTATAGTTAACATGGAAAAAATAGAACTGATGTACGCAGGTGTGACATACAACGCTAAAAAATACTAATACGCCCTATTTGCAATATTAATCCTGAATTTTCCCACTGACCATAAGTGACATATTTTTTTTGTTTCGCTACAATGTTATCTATTAATCACAAACAACAACATAAACTTGTTCCATAAAACACAAAAATGAATCACACTTAAATGTATTTATTACCGTTAAACGCAATAAAGCAGAATTTTAAAACTCAGCAGAGGATTTTGTTATCCGCATGTAACATTCCACGCGAACTCATATAATTTTTTTGCGAGGCAGTTCATGCATAATAGGAAATACGTATATGGAAGCTGGGAATTTCATCGTGAATGTCAAAGAATTTCACCGAAATGGCCATAACATATTCATATTCAATTTCATACTGGAAGAGCTGTATTAGGCCTACTACTTTTGGAACACAGAAAGCCAATTTGAAAGAATTCAAATATTCATCGTTAAAAGAATGTACTAAACTTTATGACGGAATGAATAACGGTATTAAAACAATGCTAAACAAAAGTAGGTGTTACTATTTGGAACGTTTTACTGGTGCACTAGTCATAAAATTGGTTAAGTTTCAATTGTGTTTATTGTTTTAATATAGCCATCAGCTATCTGTATCATTTTTATATGAAACTCTGATATCTTAAATAGCGTGTTGCGTGTGGATCATCACTGGGATCGTAACTTTTGAACTGAAAGCTGAAATTGTGTCTGTCGCTCTATTATACCAATTTTGTTGGTCTAATATTGATCGGTAATTTTTTTGCGTTCTGTTTTGCTTTTTTTCAGCTCATATCACTTGCCAAAATATCAACAACAATGCGACTAACCAGCGCAAATTTGTATATTGTAAATATTTTTACCTTGATGCAATCTGCTTGTTTAAGATAAGGTACAATTTATGACCGCATTTGCATACTTTTATCCTACTGCACTAATTTGTACACAAGATAGATCATAGAAAATTTTCAAAAACAAAAAAGATTTTAAAATAAAAAATGATGCGTGTGCATACACGAATATACATACGCACGTGTCTGCTAAAATTAACTCATATCCTGTGAGTGCATTGTCCCAAAAATAGTATCCCCAATAATATTCCAATCACATCAAATCTGAACTTTTTCAAATTGAATTTTTGTCAATGCCTTGCGCAACATGACATTACGAAATCGTTTTGACAGTGTACAGAACCGGTGCGCATGTCCTAGAGTAAAAATCGAACACCACTATTGAAAAAAATTCTGATTAAGAATAGTAACCAATAACAACATTATTATTCATTAAAATAGATGGAAGGGGTTCAGGCAATAGTAAAAAAAAGTTGTTAACAAGGTTCATTCATGCGCTGATATTAGATAAGAGCCGTAAAATTTACACGGTGCATAGAAAATTATTCCACTTTTTTAATGACTCGTTTACAGTTTGAATTTCTTATTTATTGCACGCTAAATGAATGGGTTGTATATTAATAAATTTGAAAAAACAGTTATAAATAATCAAAGTGGAACACCTGAATTTTTATTAGGTGTGTCGCAGGATGTAACGTCTTAATCAGCAGGCATCTAATTCACGCCGGATTGGCAATCGATAGTCAATTCGTCAATCCTGTTCTCTACATTTTTAATCCGGTTTGTGGCAGGGCGCCGGTAAAAAATGCATAAATATCGAAAATCGCGAGAAACGTCCCCGGCGAAAAATTATCCTGCGACATCCTGCAAAGTCCTGGGAGAAGAAGAGGTCGCTCACCTTTCGCTACTCTCTGGAGTATGATGTCCTTGTGTTCGTTGCAATGCGGTTCCCCGATGACGATGAGGAGGTAGCACCCGGTGAGGGGGCTGGGGGGCGGCGGCCCCCCCTTGTCCCCTTCGGACACCCCGTTCACAGCCTCCATCCGCCAAACCCTGTACTCCTCACAGCCCCAAAAAATAGTTTGTGTAAGTTTGAATCGACCGCTTAGGGTCAGGTCACACTGCTCCGGAACGCACCGGAGGCCAGACGACTCGCGAATGCCGGCCGGCGGTGCGCTATGCAGTAGCAGGAGCCCCCACCCCTCCCGCCCTGACAGACAACACCCCCACTCAGCTGACTGGGGGTGCGATGTGGGCCAGGGAGCTTTGGGAGGTGGAACTGGAGAGGGAGGAAAGCTGCGACTGGCCTAATTTAGGCACGTAGGAAGGCCGAAAAAGACGAGACGAGACCGACTACTAAGTGATCATTTAATTTATTATATTCTGAGGTGGCGAAGGGGAGCACAGATTCTAATCGGACATGAATTTTTTACCAGAAGGAGGATCGGGAGGCACGGGATGAAAATTAGCAGAAATGAGCAAAGGGGCATTTTGTGGTTTGCGCCTAATTTTGGGGGAAAATATCATTGCAAAGACAACTGCCAAAGTGTTGAATTTTCTTCTTTGTAAAAAAAATGAACTACTGACCTAAGAGACGTCGTAGCCCTAATGACCTTCCAGAAATCTTGTAACTTCGTCTTTTATAGTGAATACACCTACTTAGTTTCAGTCTTTAAATGTCCTAGTGGTGCCTATCCAGGTGGTATTTTTGGCGTAGACTTCCTAATTGTCTTAAGAAGATGGTGCAGCAATCCAAAAATTTTAAGCAGTACTATAAAGCAAGTGCTGAATCTATTGATCACTGTGTTATTAAATTTTCCACAATTTTAAAGATATTTAATTCAGTTCTTCAAAATTTCATTTAAATAATGCCGTAAACTGTTAAAATTTGCATATATTTAAATAAATTTGAATACTGTGAACTAAATGCAAGTTTGTATAGTTTTGGAAATTTCATTCTACCCTATAAAATTTTATTGACAATAACGAGAAGGACAGGATGGTAACAAATATTTATGGCTCACACCAGTTTACCCGAATTTGTGGGACAACATTTCGCAGGTAGTTGTACTCATAAAATAATGCTCATTTTCGTTCGTGACTAACGATGGGCGATGGGGCCTATTCTGACCTAAATTATTCTATTTTCTAACATCTGGGGATTACCGGACCAGACAACTTTAAGTTGTAAATATCTCTTGCTATTGTACTACTGCCCGTCTCGTTATTGCCAATAAAATTTTATAGGGTAGAATAAAATTTCCAAAACTATACCAAACATTTTCCTTGAAATAAACATAAATTAACTTCATTTCAAAAATTATTTACCCTAAAATAAAAAAATACTTTCAAACGTAAAGAATTTTTACTTTCCAAGTTAAAGCTAGGAATCAATTTTTTCGATAAAGACTGATTTTACTGTATTTCATTTTCCACAAAAAAAGTGAATAATGTTCCTTGGGGTAGAGTTCTATAAACGTTCCGAAATTTCCATAAATAACTGAGATAGTAATTTTTAAAAATGTCTAATGAAAAATTTGATCAAAATGAATAACTGTTTTTATCCGATCGTTACAAATCTAGTCGTTTTGTCTCCAATCATTTAAATGAAGTGGTACTTGTTTGTATTAAAATATCAAAATTACTTTTTTGGACTCACTTGTCACTTTTTCGGATTGACTTTTTTTTGTACTCAGATATCGAAAACTTATTTTTACGTCATTGCGGCTCTTATATGTATTTTTTCCCAACTTTTTTTTAAAAAGCAGCCAAAAGCGCCATTATTTGTAATCCAACTTTACTGAATGTCGTTATGAAACATGATGGTACCAATTTTTTCTTAGTATAGGAGCAAAGTAGCATTTTGATTTTTATGAAATCTGTAGGACTTTTCCTCCAACAACGAAAAAAGATTTTCTAACCTAAAAACCACTCACATAACCGATTATTCTTCGGTATAGTCGCCTAAAAACGTTGTGTGTACCTCGGTCAAGGAAACTTTTTCGGCTTCACCTAATCTGTACGTCTTGGCTACGCCTCGGCCTTAAACTTCAGATCGGCTGAAAAAGTTCTCTTTATGGCCATGATACACACATAACTATTTAAAAAACTGCTTTTGGATTATGGAGAGCAAATTGTAGACAGGTTGTAATCAAAATTTCATAACGTAAGTCTGCTTACAATGGAAATATTACGTTCCGAAAAATGTGTTGAAAACCCTGTGCGCCAAACGTAGGGACTCCTCTTAAGGCTATGGCAGATGATAGACAAGAAAGTCGCTGGGGGACCACGGGTATGTCAGTAACAAAATAACAATTCAACACTTTAAATGATAAAGCAGACATTTACTTGTTTAAAGTTCATCACAATAAGTAATTGAAAACTCTAACGACTTCTGCTTTTTCTGGTTTCATTCCTATGAACAGATTAATTTTAGATGATATATAAAAATAAATAAAGATGAATTTTAAAGATTCGGGACGCAATGTATTTGCTGTTAAACAAAAATTGGTATAAGTTGTTTAAACAAAATTGTCCTCGCCCCTAAAGCACAGCTGAGCACATATGAACAAATGAAATGAGGTAAACTATCAAATTTAATTCTGTAAGTGTATTATTAAACTACAAACAAAAGATCATAGTGAAATTTTCTTAATTAAATTTTGTAATTTTTATTATTTAAATTTTCACTGGGCATAAACATATTGTTACAAAAGAAACCCATGTGCCGCCTCTATGTACGGCCATGATGACTCATCGTCAATGACGGGTAGCCGGGCGGCATTCGCTACAGAAAAGCCTGGAAACGGAAGTCGCGATAGGCAATCCAGAAAGACCTCGACTGCGGAACTTCTAGAAGGGAAGTATGGCTTTAAATAGAAGCCACCTTTGTGATCGATTATTCATTCAGTCGAGTCCAATCCAGCGAATGTTGAGAAAAGCCAGTCAAGTTGCGCCGGAATTATTTTGTACATAATCGCTGTGTAATTAGTCGTGTAATTTCAAGTTACTAAGAAATAATTTGTTGACTTTTACCAACGCCGATTTTAATTGCCGACCATCGTAACAATATTACTTCTGATACATTACTAATAACAGTACTGCCTCATTAGAAAATAAGATAAGCCATTTTTCGCTTCACACATATACTACTTCATTCAAAAATTTTCTAAGAGACTATGTCTAAACAGTTCTAAAAAGTAGTGTACGAATAAACTGCATGTACGGAGGCAGGTTTTTTTGAATACATTTTAAATGAAAACAAATTTTTGAAATGAATTTTGAGTTTTTATCCAAAAACCTACACGCACAAAGTTAAAAGTAAGGCTGAGTGATAAACCGCCAACATCGCAGCATTTACTTAACAAAATTAAGTCGTCAAATTTTTGGTGGGTATGAACATGTAAATTTTAGTTAGCCTTTTACAATTTACACAATATGTACTCTCAAAATACGACTAAAATTTAACGAGATTATTCGTGTAATAAAATCACCAACAAACGGCAAACAAACGACAGATGAGAGGCGACATGGGACAAAAACGAAAAAAACACCTATTTACCAAATGTATCATGTTACAATACTTCCCTAACCTACGCTTGAGAATTATAAACCATTCATTTTAGAAACTCAATGTTTTTACACCTGACGAAGATACTGTCCATTAAAATTAATGACACTGGACTTTAATAAGAGAGAATACCAACAAGAATATAATTTTGAAAAAACTATGCTTTTGTCAGTTAACTGTAAACTTAAGAAAAAAACTGCTATCCGCAGAACAAATTAATTAAATCATTTGTACCAAGGTACTTCAGCTTTTTTTGGAAAGATTTGAAATTTAATTTTAGAATCATTGCTTAATAGAAGCGATAAAATCAGAACCGTGAAAGGCATCTATTAATTGATTTCAATAATCAGCCAAACTTTTCATAAAAAAAGGAGTATAAACAAATAATGGTTATTAACGATAACATCACAACAATTGAAAATTTAATGACTATTGTGCTATTATAAACACACATATGTATACTGTTATGCAAGGATCAACAGTTCGAGCATTGCCAAAAATGGTAAACGACATGAGTAACACTTGGAATTTATCGAGCAACATTGGTATCTTAAACCTAGACTTAAATGCATTTTAATCTAATTGTCCCAGAATTATAATGTTTTCAAATAATTCATAATCTACAGTAATTTAGTGGGTTCAATTGATTAAACAATTAATAAAACTAATTTATTTCAAGTTTAAAGAGGCTAGTAAGTGAATTATAATAATTTAGTCATAACCAAACTATAGTTTTTTAACCAAAAAATCCATTACAATTTATTAATCATTGAAAAAATAAGTACAAGGCAACTAATTGTTAATTTCGTTTAAGGTTTGCTTTTTCTCCATGTACTAGTTTCGCAAACTATAACTGATCTCAAAGAATATATATGTAGCCAACATTATTAGTGGTGTAGTCTTGGAGATTCTCTGTCAAAATTTAACAGACGAACAGACGGAAATTTAAACCCTATACTTTTGTATACTTACTATGTACTACAAATTTCGGAATGTTAGGAAAACATGTGGTACGACATTCGGCAAAGTGGTAAATGAATAATTAAATAAATAAATGTTATTTACAATATTCTAAAATGGATATGTTGTTATTGTAACACACTATTTCTTCTATTGTACATACATATTTCAACTGTAAAATTTCACATATATGTATAAACTAATTTTTAATACTTTACTTTTAAATAATATTATTTTTCAAATAGATGTTCTTCATAAAAATAAAAAACAACTAACATGATGATAACAATTTTTTAAGATTAATTTTTGATCTATATTTGCGTTTTTGAATCAATGGCAAGTACGCCCCCCTTATGAAGGGCGTGAATCACTATAAACTGCAAAACGAAAAAATGTATTTAAAAAAAAATCATAATATTACAGGAGTGGTGACCTGACTTCCGGAGGGTAGAAAGAGATAAACGTTGCCAATATGCTACACAAACAACAAAAACGGACACGGACATTTTCCAATCTTTGACTAGACAGCGGTAAGATAACTTTTTGTCGTAGGGTGCCTGTACAGACATGAAGCCATTACTGACAACAGAAAACGTGTGAGAAATACTGTCAAA